CCCCCCCCCCCCGTAACAGTAAAAAGAGATCAGGAGTCCCAGCACTTCAGTCTGGATCAGGGCTCTCCAAACTTAGCAACTGTTAAGACTTGTGGACTAACTCCCAGAATTCCCCAGCAAAGCCAGGCTGGCTTAAAGTTGCCCAGTTTGGAGACAGAGGGTCTCTCTATCCGTGGCTGCCCCATATCCAGGACCCAGCGAGGTGGGACATTAGGGCAGAGAGCAGATATTAGAAGATCCCCCAACGTGAGACTCGCCGATGTCAGGAGACCTCGACTTACAGCCATTCGTTTAACGACCGTTCAAAGTTACAACGGCACTGGAAAAAGCGACTTAGAACCAGTTCTCACACTTAGGACCGTTGCAGCATTCCACGGCCGCGTGATCAAACTCCAGGTGCTTGGCAACCAGCGTCCACTTATGGTGGTCTCAGGATTGTCACTGGTAACCTTTCTAGGCAGTTTCTGACAAGCAAAGTCAACGGGGGAAGCCAGAATTCGCTTAACGACCACACGTTTCACTTAACAAATTCAGTGATTCACTTAACAGCCACGGCAAAAAGACAGTAAAATGGACACAACTCACTTAGTAACTGTCATGCTTAGCAAGTGGGCCAATGTTGAGTCCAATATTGGACTCAATTGCGGTCGTACGTCAAGGACAGGGGTAGGCAACCTTGACTCTTTTATGACTCGTGGACTTCAACTCTCAGAATTCCTGAGCCAGCCATGCTGAGGGGAAAGGGTGAAGTTTCCAAGCTGAGCCAAGCTGGCTCAGGAATTCTGGGAGCTGAAGTCCACAAGTCAGAAAGTGGCCTAGGCCTAATCCAGGGGTAGTCAAGCTTGGCTCTTTTAGGACTCGTGGACTTCAACTCCCAGAATTCCTGAGCCAGCCATGCTGAGGGGAAAGAGAGAGGTTTCCAAGCTGAGCCAAGCTGGCTCAGGAATTCTGGGAGTTGAAGTCCACGAGTCATAAAAGAGCCAAGGTTGCCTACCCCTGGTCAAGGACTACCTGTAAATAGAGACAGAAGCCCATTACAGTATTCTGGACAGCCTTGCCAACCTAGGGATGGCAAGTACAGTATTCTGACACATCCAACTCCTATACAGGTAGTCCTCAACTTACAACTACTTGTTTAATGACCGTTCAAAGTTGTAACAGCACTGAAAAAAATTACCTAGGACTTTTGACACGACCACTGCAGCATCTCCATGGTCACGTGATCCAAATTGGGGCGCTTGGCAACTGGTTCATACTTATGACGGTTGCAAGTGTCCCAGGGTCACTGCTATCCTTTTTGTGACCTTCTGACAAAGTCAGTGGGGAAGCCAGATTCGCTTAACGACCGTGTTACCAACTTAACCATTGCAGCGGTTCGCTTAACAGCTGTGGCGAGAAAGTTTGCAAAACGGGGCAAAGATCCACTTAACAACTGCCTTGCTTAACAACAGAAACGTTGGGCTCAATTGTGGTTGTTAAGCCGAGGACACCCTGTAATCCCAAGGAAGCATGTTGGCTAGGATGAAGGGAGTCATACATTGGACACAGGTGGGAGAAGATTGTCCTAAACTACGGGATAACGCAACACACACACACACACACACACCAAGTTCCTTGAATCTCCTGGGATCATCTGAACCGCTGGTCTCCCACTCTTCTGCTTCACCAGTGATGGCGGTAGTGGCTTGCTCAGGGGATACACCCAGGATCAACCAAGCCCTGATGAGCGAGGGCCCATGGGAGCGCACGAAGGGCTCCAGGCAAGCCGGGTTGCAGGTGAGACGATGCAGCAGCCGAAGGCAGCGAGAGGAAGGGGAAGGACTCCCGGTGATGTAACGCAACAGTCCGCGCAGCGTGTCCGGCGTCACCAAACTGCGACTAGGATCTTCAGCTTGAGAAAAACGGGAGAGGAGGAGCAGGGCTGGCGCTTCGGGAGCATGGAGCTCTGGGTCGCCCACGTGGGGAGAGAAAGAGAGCGGCAAGGTCAAGGAGACCCAGGGAGACGAAGCCTCGGGGGCCGGGCGCAAGCCCTGAGGTGGCGGTGTGCTTTGCTCCGAGGAGGAGCGCAGCTTGGCACGCCGTTTCCAGTAAGAGGTACGCGCCTTGTACTCCTCCG